GAGGCAAAGATAACAAATGCTGACACAGCTAATTATGCTCACGTCATACAAGTGACCAAAAACAGTCAGTTCATGCAGGTTTTGTTACAAGGAACTTTGATGAATGAACATGGCCCAGTGTCGATAAAATATGACACCTGTGTATACATTTCATGACAGGATCAATAGCTTCACCATAACCTAACAGTAATTTAGATAGTGGCTGAATTTGTAGGTTAACTCTTATTAGTAATTTTCCCAACTCAAATCTAGATCTGCAATAACATTAGTCTTTTAAAACTAAAAGCAAAATGAAAATACTCAGTTTTAAAACCAATTCTATCAATCTTCACAGAGAAGGTAGCTGCAGTATGTTGGGGCATCACTAAGGCTATGTTTGTAATTGCCTGCATCAGTACATAAAATCAAGTAATAGCACTTGGAAGTAACCAACAAACTGGCAGAACAATACAAGGTGGCTGCCTAGGCTGCCCATCAAATACAGCCTTTCCTAGGGTTCATTAATCTTCGACTGTCACAGGCAGATAGTTGATTAAGAAATGACATGCTTGCCTTCATTGCTCATACCATTGAGTACAGGAGTCGGGACGTCACGTTGCAGTTCTACAGGATGTTGGTTAGGTCACTTTTTGACTACTCTTACAATTGTGGTCACCCTGCTTTAGGAAGGATAATATTAAACTGGAGAGGGTGCAGAAAAGATTTACAAGGATGCTGATAGTGAAAGCGGCGTTTGGAATGCTTGCCTGTATTGGTCAGTGGATTGAGCATAAGAGTTGGGAGGTCATGGTGCAGCTGCACAGGACATTGGTTAGGCCACTTTTGGAATACAGCATCCAATGCGGGTCTCCCTGTGAAACCTGAAAGGGTTCAGAAAAGATTTACAAGGATGTTTCCAGGGTTGACAGTTTTGCGCTATAGGGACAGGCTAGGGTTATCTTCCCTGGAGCAGAGGCAGAGGGGTGACCTTATGGAGGTTTACAAAATCATGTGAGGCATGGATAGGATAAATAGACAAGATCTTTTCCCAGGGTGTGGATGTCCAAAGCATAGGTTTAAGGTGAGAGGAGAAAGGTTTAGGAGAGACAACTTTTTCATGCAGAAGGCGGTGCATATATGGAACGAACTGCCAGAGGAAGTGGTTGAGGCTGGTACAATAACAACATTTAAAAGGCATCTGAATAGGTATATGAATAGAAAAGGGTTTAGAAGAATATGGGCTAAATGCTGCCAAATGGAACTAGATTAATTTAGGATATGTGGTTGGCATAGATGAGTTGGGCCAAAGGATCTGTTTCCATGCTGTACAACTCTATGACTTTATGCTTTCGGACTGGAGGGTTTGAGTGATGAGGAGAGGCTGGGACTTTTTCCACTGGACTGTAGGAGATTCAGGGGTAGTGATCTTATAGAGGTTTAAGGTGGTCATGTAGGGCATAGTTAACGTGAATAGCTAAGTTTTTTTTCACTAGGGCAGGCGAGTTCAAAACCAGAAGGCATAATTTTAAGGTGAGAGAAGAAAGATTTAACAGGGATCCAAGGGACAACGTTTTTCCCCCACACAGAGGGTGGTTCATATATGGAATGAACTATCAGAAGATGTGGTAAATGCAGGTACAGTTACAACATTTAAAAGATATTTGGCCAGATTCATGAATAGGACAGGTTTAGAGCGATGTGGGCCAGGCACAGACAAATGGAATTCGCTCCGTTTGCAAAACCTGGTGGGCATGGACGAGTGGACCAAAGGGTCTGTTTCCGTACTGTATGATTCTATTTAGATGATACCCACCAAAACGTGATCAAACACTATTTGAGCAGCATTTTAAAAACAATAGTTTTTTTTTCCCCAAGGTAGAGGAAAGTTGGCAACGTACAGAGAAAGGGTATTTCAAAGTGCAACTGACAAATCTTGAAGAAAAGGTTGTAACCTCAACCTCTACCACCACCTCCTCCACCTCTTCCTCTTAATCACTGTCTTTCCACCTTCCCTCAACAAACCTCTGCCCCACTCCCTCCTCCTCTCTCTCACCTCCCCTCCGAAGCTGAGTTGCTGACAGTCCGACTGGATCATCTGGTCCATGAAGTGCTGACTGCCACTCGCTTCACTCCTCCATGTCGACGCTCAGACCCTCTACCGGAAAGCGGGGAACAGACGGTGTTCTGTGTGGGGCCCACCAAGCGCTCACATGGGCTCGGATGGGTCCTGGGTACCGAGTACCGGGGGCTCGGGCGGGTCCTGGGTACCGAGTACCGGGGGCTCGGGCGGGTCCTCGGCCTCAGGAGCCGCTTCTCCGGGAGGCCGCGACCCGAAAAAAGAGCCGGCACTGCCATCTCACCGTCTAACTACATCCGCCCCTAGACACAGAACCGTCAATAAATCGACAGTCCTGCCGCCATCGCCAGCAAGTCGCCACGCAAACCCCAATTAAAGGGCGAGCTGCAACCTCCAGAGGAGGCTAACAGTTGGGAAAGTGAAGGATTAACTGGGCACTACATTAACCTGTGGATAGACACAGTCGCCATAGGCAGGGTCGTGAGGACTGGACTCCCACAATGCAGCGCGGTTCCTGTAAACAAGTGTCTGGGCTGGAGGACAGGAGGGTATGGAGTGTGTCCTGATTCCCTGTTAGCCAATATTTCATAATTTTATTTCGTCTGCTGTTGTGCTTCCCTTCTGGAAATGTGCTGCTCACCCCCCCCCCCCCGCCTACCATGAAACAGCCTTTGAGCCCCTCCGTCCTTGCAAATTTCTGTCGCGTTTCCAAACTGCCCTTTCTCTGCAAAGTCTTTCAATGCGTTGTTGTCACCCAAAATCATGCACATAAAGTCATAAGAGATGTACAGCACGGAAACAGACCCTTCGGTCCAACTCGTCTATGCCGACTAGATATCCCAAATGAATCTTGTCCCATTTGGCCCATATCCCTCTTAAACCCTTCCTAGTCATATTCAGATGCCTCACAAATGTACCAGACTCCATCACTTCCTCTGGCAGATTTATTCCATACATGCACCACCCTCGCCATGAAAAAGTTGCCCCTTAGGTCCCTTTTAAATCTTTCCCCTCTCACCTTAAACTTATGCCCTCTAGTTTTTCACTCCCTCAACCCCAAGGAAAAGACCTTGTCTATTTACCCTATCTATGCCCCTCATGATTTCGTAAACCTCTACACGGTCACTCCTCAGCCTCTCATGCTCCAAGGAAATTAACCCTCTTTCCTAAATTTCTGTATTTCAACAAAAAAAACAACAAATGGCCAGAGCAACTCGGCCAGCATTGGTAGAGAGAAAGCAGAGTTAAAGTTTTCAGTCTGGTGACCCTTCTTCAGAACAATTTCTGCTTTTGTTTCAAACTTCCAAAATCTGTAGTTATTTAATTTATTTTAATTCCATATTTCAATATATCCAGTCAGGTTTCTGCTCCTGCTGTAATACTTATCAAAATTATAAATGACATTCAAGTGACTGTGAGATAGATAAATAAAGAACCCGCAAAATCACAAAACAATCAACCCACCACTCTCCCACTCAGGATGTTTAGCAGGTTTCAAATCTAGGTCCCCAGAACTTTACCTGGGTCTTTGGATTAATAGTCTAGCAATAATACCGCTATATTCATCACCTCTCAGTTCCTCAGGGTATTGTCCTGCTGTTTTATCACGACCTTCTCTCCAGAAGTGGGGAGGTTCACTGATCATTGTGGAATGTTCAGCACTATTCACAATTCCTCAGTGCTGAAGCAGTTTGTGTCCAATTGCAGCAATATCCAGGCTTGGGCTAACATGTGGGAGGTAACATTCATGTGACACAAATGTCAGATAATGACCATTTCCAACAGGAGAGAATCTAGCCATCATCCCCTGACGTTCAATGGCATTACCATCACTGAATCACCACTATCAAATCCTCGGTGGGAGCGGGGGGTGGGGGGCAATCACCATTATTAAGACGCTAAACTGGATTAGCCATATAAAACTACATGAATCCCAAAAATCCTGCAGAGAGTAGCTCACTTCCTTACTGCCCAAAACCTGTCTACCATCTGTAAGACACAAATCAGGAGTGTGATTGAACTAAATAAAAACTGAAAGAACTGCAGATGCTGTAAAATAAGAAACAAAAGCAGAAGTCGCTGGAAAAGATCAGCAGGTCTGGCAGCATCTTGAACGATTTCCACTTGCATTGATACCAACTGGGAAATTGCAGCCCACTTGATTGGCAAAACATTCCATGTTTACTCCCTTCACCACTGACTCACTGTACAACAGTATGTAGACTACAAGATGCACTGTCATCACTCAACGTGGCCTATTGAAGATGTGGTACTAATCAAGTGGATTGTTGTCAAACATGTTGAGTTAAATATTGTAAATGAATAGATAGCATGTATAATGACAGTATCTATTTGATAACTTTATGACCTAGAAAACATCATTAAAAATCTAGATTAGGATGTTACGAAGTCCCGTATATTTGCTATACATGTCTCTGCGTACGATGTACTTTCAGACCTCAACCTGCACAATTGAAATCTGCTTGCTAACAACAGACTGTTTAAATACCATTTCCACCAATCATCAGTCAACGTTTCTATCACCATCCGCCATTCATAGCCGTGCCTTTTCTACATTCAGCCAATGGTGGAACGGAGAATGATTAATATCAACCAATCAGCCTCTGGATTAAGGGCCAATCAGACCACACCATTTTGGGCGGACTTTTCGAACGGACCAATCAAAGTTGGACATTTAAATAGGGACAACCGAATAGTCGGTGGCGACTCGAATGTCCATCCGCTCCACCCAAATAAACAAAACCGCTATTTAGCTTAATATGGAAATATTAATAACCGTCTAAACACCTAAACTCCTGCACTTGCAAGAAATTATGACCATGAGCGTGGAGGTCTTTGGTAAATCAGAAAGAGTGGAAAAGAAGGAAGGAACTTCTTCGTCATTTTACACAAACACGAAAAATCCTCCGCTGCGGTGATGTCATCGCGGTCAGTAAATACTCAAGATCGAACAGAGAGAAGGAAAAAAAGGATAGAGAGAGAAGGAAAATAGAGAGAGGAGAGGAGGGATAGGAAGAAAAGAAAAAAAAGAAAAAGAAAAAGAAGAAGAAGAAAGAGAAAGAGAGGGGATAGAAGAGTGACCAGAGAGAGGACAATAGGAGATTGAGGAGAAAAAAAAGGGGACAGAGAGTGTGGATGATCCGTGCCAGCCGCATTCACTCCTCTGGTCCCGGATTGTAACCGCATCCAAGAGCTGCATCGACCGATAAAACCGTGAGTTCAAATAGGAGTGAGTCTGGCTGTTTACGCTGGGGACAGGGAGAACGGCCTCCGGCTGTTTACCAGGGGGGCGGGGGGGAGGGAGAACGGCCTCCGGCTGTTTACACTGGGGGTAGGGGGGAGGGGGAACGGCCTCCGGCTGTTTACACTGGGGGCAGGTTGTTTCATTGTCGTAACAAATAGGGTTCGGAAGACTTGGGCGAATTGTAAAGCCTTGAACTGTAGTTGGAGCTTAATGGCTGGTATCATTTGGCTGAGGAAAGACTATTTCTGGTCTCTGTGGTCCAGTTGGTTACTGAATAACTGTACTCTATTGAAAGAAAAGTGTTAATTTTTGTGGTTTTAATGATTCATTTCTGCTACTTCTTGGTGTCGTTTAAAAAGGCACTGTTAGTTTGAATACTATTTAAGTATTCTGTTCATTTCTTTTTCTTTAAAGATGAAAGACTTGGCCTCTTATGAACACAACAATGAAGCCCACAAACTATTGAAACAAATAAATCAATACTTGGAGCAAGAATCCAAATTTCTACCAAAGGCCAGTGGACTCCTTGCAATTGAAGCCTCTTTGGAGGTAAGAAGTATTTAGATTTGGAAGTGATAATTAATATTTATTTACTCACCCTATGAGTTTTTTAAACTTAATTTAGCCTGCCTCAAAGTAGATGAGAAAATATCTTGCCTATAAATATTAAATCTAAGGTGCTCACCTGTGTTTTGTGAGTTGGTGGTATTTTATTTTACCATGATGTACTGTGAAGGGAGTGGGAGATGTATCTTTACAAATCCAATGTTTCTGAGCAAGCTGATATTTTTTTTTCCTCCATTTATTTGGAATATAATACCAATTTAAAACTTAAAAACAAAAGCCAGGTTTGGTGACAGATTAAATGTGTTTTCATAAATGGAAAATGTTAATCATTCAGCACTTGTGCAGTTGCTTCACTATTACATTCAACCTGGCTTCTCTTAGCTTTGTTTTCTGTTGCTTTGTATAATATCAAAGTTTGAAGTCCATGTATACTCAATAGTAATTGCTTTATTAGCAAAAATAATGTATCTTACCATTTGAGTGCTGCATTTAATTCCATTCAACTCCTACTTAAAAGTAGCACTGAAATTTTAAGTTTCAATTTTCATAGATCTGATTTTGTGTTTGAATCGCATGGGACAGAATCGAAAACAATTTCACGTTCTGATTTGCAGAGTGATGATTGTATCTCTCCAAAGTTAAGAGATGCCAAAGTGGAAGATCTCCGGAGTTTGACCAGATTCTTCGGCTGCAGTACTGAAACTTTTGTTTTAGCAGTTAACCTACTGGATAGATTTTTGTCATTGATGAAGGTTAGAATTATAAACAATTTCTGTATTGTTTTAATGTGTATGTATGGGTTAACTGGCATACAATAATATCCCAAAATTTTTATTGTGCTTTCTTTTTTTTAGAAGGTTACTTAAACTCACCTGTCCATTGTGCTACTTTTGTAGGTGCGACCAAAACATCTGCCTTGCCTTGGATTAAGTGTCTTCCATCTAGCAGCTAAGACCATTGAGGAAGAATGTAATATCCCTTCTGCCCATGACCTCCTCCGAATCAGCCACTGCAAGTTTACGGTGTCTGACCTCAAGCGGATGGAAAAGATTGTCTATGAGAAACTGAATGGGGAATTTAAGGCTGTCACTGCCTTGCACTTTTTACATTTGTATCATGCCCTGGCACACTGCCATGTAACCAGTGGGTAAGTATTTGTGCATTCCTTATAGGAAAAGTGTATAATACTCTTCAGGTAAATTTATTTTTCTTTCCCAAATTCTCATCTTGCTTTTATTTTAATTTATTTGTTGTCAAAGTCCCTACTTTTGTTTTGAAAGCTTAGTTTTCCTCTATCCATACGTCTCTCAAAATCTTTGGTGCCCTTTTAAAGCCACGAAAAATAGGAACCAGAGTAGGCCATTTGGTCATTCAAGCCTGCTCCACCAACAATAGGATCATGGTTGATCCAACATTCTTCACGTCCACTTTCCTGCACTTTCCCTATAAACCTTGGTTCCCCTGCTGATCAATCTATCTATCTCAGCCTTAGAGGAGTCTGGCCCCACAGCTCTGTGTGGCAAGGCCTCCCAATGCGCACTTTTTTTTTCTCTGAGAGAAGAAATTCCTCCATCACAATTTTTAATTGGTGCCTGTTATTTCAGAAACTATGCCATCTGGTCCTAGGCTCTCCCATGAGAGGAAACATCCTCTCGGTGTATACCCTGTCAAGCCCCCTGATAATCATATTCAATACAATCACATCTACTACTTCTAAATTCCAATGGCTAGAATCCTAACCTTTGTGCATAAGGCAATCCCTTCATACTGAGGATCATCCTAAGGAACCTTCTCTGAACTAACTCCAGTCAAATAATTCCAGTCAATTAATTCAGGGGACCAAAACTGCTCGTAATTCTCCAGATGTGGCCTCACGAGCACTTTGTACAGTTGCAGCAAGACTTCCTATAAAGTTTCCGCTGTTAGGAGAAACTTCGTTTACTAATGTGTGATGCGACCATATATTGATCCAAAGCAGAGTCTTAGGATTGAATTGTATGTTAACTTTGCATTAATTTATTTCCCTTAGGAAAGAATTTCTGATTCTTGATCGGCTGGAAGCACAGCTGAAAGCCTGCAGCTGCCGATTTGTCTTTTCCAGAGCTAAAGTAAGTTTGATTGTGTTTTTGCCTGTTATAACAGCTAAGTGTGGGCCTTGTTCTGAGCTTATTTAAATTACTTCTGTTGTGTTGTGGAATGAACTTCAGTATGAAATTTCTTCTGCTTTTGCAGCCATCTGTATTGGCCTTGTCCCTTCTGACCCTTGAAGTTGAAAACTTGAAATCCAGTGACTTGTTTGAAATTATACTGCGTGTTCAAAAACATTCCAAAGTGGGTATAAGGGAAGCTGTTGCTTTTTTTCAAGAACTCTATTTTTGTTGACTCTGACAGCATGTTTTCTACATTTTAAAGCACTACCATTTTGGTACGCTATATGCTATGTTAGTGGAAGGAACTAAGCAAGGAGACATGATAAATGATATTTCTTCCCACACACCATTGTATTTGTAGATTTCATTGTCACAATCCAAATAAGATGATTCAAGGTTATGATGGCATTGCATATTTATAGATGGTTGACTATGTCTTAAGGAAAATTGAACCAAAATATGCTTAAGTATAAACAGTGGCTTTCATGTACCACACATCCTTAACAAAAAAAAATCACATTTTACTTGCACCTAGCTATTTCAGTTGATCCTGTTCCAGTCAATTTTGAGAAAATATGTATAAGCTATGTATTGAACTACGTTTCCTCAACCATTTGAACCCAAATATGTTGTATAGTTTAATCAGAGCAGATTCTGGAGTACACTTCAATTTGTTTAGGAGTCATAAACTTCTGTGTGCTGCATTTTTTTTTTTAAGTGTAAACCAATGGTACTGCTTAGGAAGTTAGTAAGCATTTCCAATAAAATGCACTAATTTTGTATTAATAATGTTCCCGTCTTTTAGATTAGCCATTATGACTTGGCATACTGGCGTGAATTGGTGTCCAAATGCCTGGCTGACTACTCTTCACCTGAATGCTGCAAACCTGATAACAAGAAGCTTGTGTGGATCGTTTCAAGACGTACGGCCCGTCATTTACAGAACAGTTATTATAGTGTTCCTGAATTGCCAACTATCCCAGAAACTGGCTGCTTCAGTGAAACTGAAAGGTAAATTACTGTAGTTTCTTAGTATTGAAAGTTTTTTGTATTAAAACATTTTCTTTTAGGAAGATAATAACGCACAATATTGGCTTTTATTTGGATTTTTAAAATCTAATTTTTTCTTTTAAAGTGAGGATTCATGTGAAGAAATGAGTTGTGGTGAAGATGGTCTGAGCAGCTGTCCACAGAGTCTCTCAGTTGGTGAATTCTTCTCTCGTGATCTCTTGCACCAGTCGAAGTGGCAAAATTTCTGTTTTCACACTCAGTCTCCAAACGTATTATAGATCTGTGACTCATCTTTGCACATGTTCTTGTTGTTCACTTGGCTCGGATTTGAGTTTTTTTTTTAAGTGAAGTCTTTTTTTTAAATCAGTTTATAAGCTAAGTAGGGATTGAATTGCAACAAAGCTTCTAAAGTTCCATTTGTAGATTACCTACATCAGTCCAGAGGTCTTGCAGCCTCATCCCCTCATACTTATTATTTGGCATTATTCTCCCTAGTAACTTTTTATATTGTGCTAATGAAAAGTTGCTCTGTCTTCAGCTCAGTGAGGTGATGCCAGATAATAATCACTCACTGTTGATGTAAAGCTATGACTGTGTCCAATCTTCTACTTGTTGGATGTAGTTCTATTAGCATGGAATTTTATTTGCAAAATGTGGTAAAATAAATATCACAGCATTATTTTAAGCTTTATTTTAGAATATCTAAATACAGATTTTCATATGATTCAAAAACTAAAAGCACTGACTTAAATTCCTTCAATACATTCATGCACAGCTTGACTAGATAACCTACAGGGCTGTTCTGACTTTACTATTATCTGATTTATAAAAATCGTATGGTTGAGAGATACTCTGTAAAATGCAGCAATTATGGTAAAGCTAGTCAAGTGTCCTGCAAGCTAACTAAAAATTCTACTTGTGACTATGCGTTTCAAAGTAGAACATTGCATGCTATCCATATCCATTGACAGACATGAAAAATAAATTGTGTGTTGTGCATGCTAAAGGAGCACAGGTATTTGGATCTGCTGGATGGAAGTGCAGCATCAATAAATTGATAACTTACAAACTCTGATAAGCTAAGGCAAATCTGAAAGGAGTATTACAAATATTTGATCATATAACTCTTTAAAATGATTACAGTTAACCATGTCTTTTTATCAAAAATCGTAAGTATTTCAAGACTGACTTCAAACTGTACCTGGGAATTAAATCCTTTACTAGTCGTGTATTGGTTGTAAAATGTCAAATTAGAATGTTAGTGAGTGGGTGAAGTTGTGTGAACTAAGAAATTGAATGTTATTATTGGACATTTTCTATTCTTTTCACTTTAAATTGCTAACCCATATCTACTATAATGGGATGGTATAGTTTTTTTTAAAAAGGGACAAAAACTCATTTTTACCTCTTAAAATCTTTTGAGTTATCAAATCATTTTAAGTTAGAATGTTATGGGATAGTTTTATGTTGTTGCTTTGCAGATTCCATTTTATAGAACCAATTATTTTGAGTGAAGTAACATTAAATTTAAGAGTACACTGTAAACGTTAAGAACTGGAATTCTCCTACAGTGTTGTCGGTTATTTTTTTCTGATGGTAAATTAAACTCCTCACCAATTGTACCTCCTGCACATCAAAGCTTGCTCTCTGCATCTGTCACTAACACATGGTTTGTGAAAAGTGCAGATGTGGTAGGTAGAATGCCAATAACAACTTTTCATGCTTGTCACTCCAGCTGCTTGGAGAATGGTTGGGTTAGGCATATATTTTGTTTATATTAAAATACAAGTTTTATTTAAAAAGGACAAAAGTGCCAACTGGAGGAAGTGTACTTTTTTAAATTGTAAATATTTACAGCTATTTGAGATGGTACTTTGTTAAAACTGTTGTACTTTTTTTTAGAAAGTAACAATTACCTCAAACTGAGCCTTTGGTATAGTAACTTTGGTTTTTGTACAACATATTGGCCATTTCATGTGCCAACCAGATATTTTTGAGAATTTTACTTTGTTGTTACAATGTACTATTGATTTGATTGATCAATGAACATGCTTCTGGCTTTTTTGTTTTGGATATGAAGTAAGAGTTGTTGCACATAACCTCTCTGTGCAGCAGTGATGTATGGAAGAGAAATCCTAGTTTACAAACCAATGTACATAATAATGTAACTTAAATGTATAAGAAAGAAGTGCACTTATATTTTCCCCTTATTCAGGTATGAAAGCAACCAATGCACTTATGAAAAGTGTTGTATGTAGCACTGTCTGGTTCTTTAGCATTGTGTACAAATTCCCTGTAGATATTAACTTATTGTATCTTTCCAATTTATATATATTGTAAAAATATATCAACCTGAAACTTCTACCAACAAAGGATGAGTAAATAAAGACTCTCTTGAAATCTGTTTTATTTTGTTCAGAAGTTCTAGACTATACTTGACTGCCACAGTGCATATGTAAATCTAATGAACCTCATTATCTTTGTTTCTTTTGTTGATCAAAAATCCAACTTCACCTTTAATACATTAGTTGATGCTGCCTTCACTAGTTTTATGAAGAGAATTCCACAGCCTAATGACTGTCTTTGTCTTTGTCTTTGTCTTTGTCTTTGTCTTTGTCTTTGTCTTTGTCTTTGTCTTTGTCTTTGTCTCAGTCTTATATGGGAGGTCCCCTAATTTTTTTAAAAGCTACGTCCCTGACCTGTAGATATACACACCCTGTCAAATTCCCTTAGAATGAATGGTATCTGTTTCATTTAGATTTACCTTTTTTGAAGTTTGTAGAATGGTTTTTTTTCCTTCTAAAACCACCTTTTCAATTCCAGGAATCTGATGAATAAACCTTGTCTGAACACTTTCAAATATAATTATATCCTTTTAAGTAAGGAAACCAAAACAGTAAACGGTACTCAAGCTGTGATTTCACTGATGTGCTTTACAATTGCAGCAACACTTCTTGTATATTCCATTTCCTTTGCAAAAACTACCAACTTTCAATTTGCCTTAATCAGTTTATTTATTCACGTACTAATGTTTTGCAAACTACATACCAGGACATCCACATTCTTCTATCCTATAGAGTTCTGTAGTCTAGCGTCACGCAAATGTATAAATTTTCTATTCCTGACAAGGAGGATAGGTTTGCGTTTTCCTGCTTTCTCAAACTGAAAAATTTACTACTTATTCACTTAGAATCTGCAAAGGGACATTAATAGGATATGTACTTAATGGCTGTTGTTGCAATGGGGCTCTATATTTTCCCCAAGTTGCCTTACAAGTAAAGGTTGGACCAGCTAGGCTGTGTTGGCTGGAGTTTAGCACAATAAACAATTTCATTAAGACATAGGTGATATTGAGGGGACTTGATAGCGGATGTGGAAATGATGTTTCATTTATGGGAAAATCTAGAGCTAGGCACTATTTTAAGGTGTTTCTGATTTTTTTTTTGAGTTGAGATTTTTCCCTCTGGAGGTCATGAGACTTGGAATTATTTTCTTCAAAGGTGATCGAAGTAAGCATTTGAGCGTTTTTTTTTAAGACCGAGGTCGAAAGATTCTTGGTAAGCCAGGAATGAAAGTCTATTGGGAATAGGTGGAAATGAGGACTCGACATTAATAAGATCACTGCCTCCTCCTCATTTATATGTATCCCTACTCTGATTCCTGTTGGCTAATCCATCCTTTTTCTGTGTTAACATGTTTGCCCCTACACCATGAGCACTTACTTTATATGGTAACCTTGATGTGTGATACCTTGTTGAAAGTCTTTTGGAAATACACCAAATGTGTAGTTTCCTCTTTATCCACCTCGCTTATTACATTGTCAAAGAACTCTAGTCAAACATTATTCTTCCTTTTCCTAGACCATGTTGACTCTGTTCAATGTCCTTTTCTAAATTCCCGCTTTACATCCTTTATAAATCTAGGGATGTTTGGAATGCCAAAGCCAATGCTTCTGTTATGTCTGCAGCCACTTTTAGGACACCAGATTGAACGCCATCAGGCCCATGGGACTTGTTGACCACTAGTTCTGATAGTTTTCCAATACCTTTCTCGAATGATTGTGATTGTTTGAAGTTCCATCCTTCTTATCTCTTGATTTTCAATTTTGGGTAATTTTCAGTGTCATCTGCAGTGAAGTTAGATACAAAGTACCTATTCAATGCTTCTGCCATTATAGTGTTTCCATTTTTGAGTTCCCATTCCAATCCTCTGAGACTACCATTCACTTTCGTTATTCTTCTTTTTAAATACTTGTACAATTTTTCTATTTTTGGGTAGCTTTCTCCCATACACTAATTTTTTGGTTTTTTTTTGCTGATTTCTAAAATCTAGAGCTGCCATTAACCTTCTTAGTATTGTATGCATTTTCTCTTAATTTGATACTATCGTTACCTTCCATAGTATAACGGGAATGATGGAGATTTCACATAGTCTTTTTTCTCAATGGAATATTTCTTTGAGTTATGAAATATCTCCTTAAATACTTGCCATTATTTCTCTTCTGTCCTACCTTTTGTCCTATTTTCACTTCGGCCAACTCTGTCTTCATATCTTTGTATTGCAATTGTTTGAGTTTAGAATACTAGTCTTAGGTCCACATTGCCCACACACAAACGCGCTGGGGGCATGGAGCAGAACGATTTGAGATGATTGAATCTCATGAGTCATATGTGCTTAGGTCTGAAAGAAGCATCAAGAGCTGGGATGTGGGCTCAGAACCAGCAGTGATTCACCTCCATGAGTTCCACAAGGTGGTAACCAATTAAGTTGATTACAATTACTGACTTTACCTTTGTAAAGTCTGACTCAAAGTGCTGAAACAAGGCCCACTGGGATTTGAATTAGCTTTATTGTCACGTACTCAAATAAGTACAGTGAAAAGTTTATAAGTTGCCACTTACAGCACCATCTTAGGTACAGAGTACCTAGGTACAATCCTTAGTTACAGTTAATTGCCAATCATCATTTTGATAGCCAAGGCAGAGTAAGATGATCCAGTCGGAGCTCCTCTGCTCGTCAGTTCCTTTTCCTTTTGCTTTCTTTCTTTTTTTCCCTCTTTTCAGCAGTTTTTCTTCCCATCCCCCTGCAACATTGTAAACTACCCTACCCTACCTGGAGAATGGGGGCAAGACAAAGGGAGATGAGTCACGACTAGAGCCTGGGCAGGAGCGGACCACATGGGCTGAGTCGCAGAGCGGCAGCAGAGCTGGTGGGCCGAGTCCCAGAGCAGAGAGTGGAGCAAGTCTCAGACGAAGCCCAGAGCAGCAGCAGAACGAGCACACACCAAGTCACTGGCCAAGTCCCAGAACGGCAGCAGAGCGATTCCTGGACAGAGGCCCGCTTGTGGAGGCAGGGTGGCCTCATGTTCTGAAGCCCGGTGGGACTATAAGGACTATAATTTCAGTATTTTACAGACACTTTTTATTCTCATCTGGACTTTTAAGCTCTGTATTCCTACGCTAATCTATTTTTTCACTATTTCCATTCTGTAAAACACTTAAAGTCTCTGTACCTAGGTATCTTGTACCAAAGATGACGGCGAGAGGCGACATTACAAACTTTTCACTGCACATGACTATAAAGGCTATTCAATTAAATGGCAGCATAAGAGGGTCATCTAACATTTACTGCTACAGATATTTTGTGTGAATTTGCTAGCATCTCCCACAAAGAGGACATTTTCGATAAGTAAACAGATATTTTTCCCTTAATGTATCCACCACCGCATATCCTCAATTAAAAATCTAACTTTTTTTCCTGTTATAATTACTCTGCCAGATCAGTTACTAATCTTTTCCACTGACAAGCACAAATAGAAAAAAAATTCCCTAAAGACAGAATTTTGTTTAGGGGAATAAGTAAAGCCCCAGAGGCTAGGTTATACTGCTGGCATGGATTAAATATTTTTTTAAATTGTTTTAAAATGAGGTTTGGTTATAAATGTGCAATTTCCAAGTAAAATGCAAGTTGGATTTCTAGTGGATGAATCAATAAATGAGAAGCATTAGCGAGCTGGATCTCTCTTTTTATGTGGTAGAAACACAGGTTACCAAATTCAATTTTTCACTCTGCCTCCAGTTTCTTGGTGTGACAGGGAAATTTAACACTGTAGATGGAGTTTTCCCTGAGCAGGCAGGATAGGGGAGGGCCTAGCGACCAGCACGCTAGGCAGGTGTACAAATTCTCCTTGTATAAAAACAAAAACAAATACTTGTAACAGTCCTTTCATCACCTCAGGATATCGCAAAGAATTTTACCTCTAATGAAATACCTTAGAAATGTAACTGTGTTGAAATGTAGGAATAATGCACAAATGATTTTGAACTACAGTTGTATTAAAATAACACAATGTGCAATGAATAAACCATGCTGTTCCATTAAGATGTTCAATCGTCTGCAAACAGCCTCTGGTAAGCGATCACTATTCAGAGGGAATTATGTTATTATTTGTTATTGAGAGAGAATAATGCAAGTACTCAAAAGAAAACCACTCTGCTTAACAAATATTGATTGCATGCTAGTAAAATCTAATTGCTGCTACTGTGGGGATGGTTAAAAGTAACAAAAGAATAAATAATCAGTCAGTTGAAATTATTATATGTGTTCTACAAACTAACATTATCAAAGAGGGAACGGTGAGTCCGGTAAAGCTGTGTTAGAGTTTTAAAGGGCAGAATTTCTTTTATACTAAGTACAGAGTGGTCAGAAACATGGGAGGGACTTCCATTTGTAATTGGGGTGGGTTATCCTAAACAATAACATTCTCTTTAGCTCATTAAATATTCTCAAGAGGTGAAATGTCAAATCACAGGGGTGGACTGGCAGGAAGAGCTGTCCCCGACCAGACACCATATTTAAAAAGCAACAAAACCCAACTGATCTGGCAGCATCAATGGAGAGAAAGCAGTGGTAACATTTTGAATCCCATGACTCTTCTTCAGAACTCTGTTTTCTCTCCACAGCTGTTCCTGCTGAGATTCTCCAGCAATTTCTGCTTTTGTTTCAGATTTCCTGTATCTGCAGTTCTTTGTTTTATTTTAGTGCTTAAAAGGCATCTGGGCAGCTCTTCTCTCCCTGCAACCCAGGAGCAACACTCAATCACTGCACATTACATCACCCATCCCTGGCAATGTCAGAGGCCAGACAAGAAACAGCGCCATGTTTTAGCGATACACACCAAAAGAATGTTAAGGAGAAAAGGGAAGTTCTTTTACATAGGGATGGCGACAAGAGGCCGACCCAACTGACAAAGGCAACACGGACAGTGGTGCTCAGTGCCTTGTTGGCATCTTATGGGGACTTGTAAGAAGGTCAATGATCTGATGTGCACTGCCAGGTAGGTGCCACTGTACAGTCAGTGCTCAAACTCCTATGAGTGTGTAAGGTTACCAATATAGAGGACTA